GGGAGGGGGCACAGGCCGGGCTGGGGGACCCCCCCCCCCAGTGCACAAATTTTTGTGCACCGGGCCTCTAGTATATACATAAGCTTGGAACAGCTTGTGGCACAAAATGAGCTCTCAGTAAGTGCGGTTTGAGCTGGGCCCTGGAGGACAGGCAGGACTGGGGAAGGGGGTGGGTAGATACTGATTCCACAAGAGGGAACTGATACCAGGCCTTCAGCACACACAGGTGGATACAAGGGTCACCCATGGAAGCTGCCATATCTTCCTGTTCCTCTCTTTGCCCAGCTGTAAGGGGTCTGTACACAGTAGGAGATCGTATCATCCCTGGAATGAAATAGGGAAAAGGCAGAGGGGAGACAATTTCCTCTTCTACCTCAGGCTTTAGGACAGAGGCTGTTCTTGGCCAACTGTATGCTGGTCAGCTTTCACCTGTTTGGTGGCTAAAGCCTGCTCACACCCGCCCCCGGCCCGCTGCAGAGGTTGGCCCAACAGGGAAGAGGCTGCTGATGCCTGCGAAGCCCTTTCAGGTCTCATGTCACTCTCAGACTGGGCTTTGGGGCCTCTGATGTGGAGCCAGGTGTGGGAGGGGACATCATTCCTGCCTCCCCCTTGTCTAAAGCTTCCTCCTGTGGCCATGGACAGACCTGGGTACCTTCCTATTGTGTTTGTGGAGTGAGGAGGACAGGGCTGCAAGGAGCTTGTACGTGCATGAATACAAAAAGTTTCTCTAGCTGGGAATTCTGCTGCTGGGGAAACAAGGGGGTGCATGCTTTCATCTGCTCATCATCAGCTAATCCATTCAACAAGCAATTATCGAGCTCTTACAATGTACCAGGGACACAGTCCAGTGGGGGATGCCACCCTCAACCAAGCATTCACATCACAGGTGATCAGTACTGAGGAGGTGAAGCACAGACATTGCAGGGACCTTTGGGGCTGGCTCCTCTGAGCCCCTAAATGCCAAGCTGAAGGGCTGCCCAGAGGCAAGGCCTCAGAGCCTCCAGCTGCCCAGCCCCTGCCCCCTAGGCATGAGCACCCCCACCCCAGCTCCTACCTCCAGCATCCCATCATTTCAGATTTGCATATAAATTTATTCTTCCCAATAAAAGAACCTATCAAATGTTTAACTGAATGCGATTCCATTTTTACCTTTGCAAGATTTTCCCTATAAATCATCCACAAACCAGAAGGCCCTTGCTGAACAATGTGCTTGGTTCTCAGTTTGGACAATAGGGTTGCCTACCTTGGTCCTCTCAACTGGGACCCCTGCCCAACACCTCCCCCCACTGATGGCCACACTACCCATCCCAACCCAGAGTCTGTCCCAGGACATAAACACCCCCTCCTCTGCCCTAGGCACCTTCTCCAACAAACCTGCAGGCAAATATCCCCCAGGGCGTACTCATTCAAACTTGAGGACCCTCCCCCAACACACACACACACACACACACACACACTTCCTGTTCACACATCTCTGTGTGAAGCTCACCCCCCAACCTCCTGCTAAGTAAGAATCATTTGCAGGACCAACAGCCAGAAAGGGTTACACCCAGGGAGTTGACAAGGCCACCTGAATGAGGCACAAGCTCTAATGTTCCTACTGTCACCATGGCAACATCAGCACCCACTGGGATGCTGGCTGGGGTAGGGGCAGGAGGCGAGCCCTGCTCCCCACACAGGAAGGGCCAAGAGCAGGTCTCATTCAAAGACTGACTGATTAGCTCACTCCTTCATTTGAATTCATAATCAGCACCTACTGTGTGCAAGGTGCTGGGGAATCAGTACAGGAAAGCAGGCAAGGTTCATGCCTCCAGCCTCATGGTCAACATCAACGTTCATGATATAATCACACTATTGAACGTATAAGTACTTGCTGAGCTAAGGCCCCTGAAGAAAAGCAGCACAGAGTGGAGTAGAGCGGTGGCTAAGATGATGCCCGCTGGAGGCAGACCAATGGGTTCCGATCACAGCTCTGCTACTTGCCAGCTGGGGACCTTGGTCAAGTTACCTAACATATCTGGGCCTCAGTTTCCTGGTCTGTAAAATGGGGATAGCAATAGTTACTAATATTTAATGTGTTGCTGTGAAGATTAAATGAGTTAGTACTGTGCCTGGCACATAGGGAGCTTTCAACATGTGGTCACCTCCTCCACCCCACCCTC